GATTAGGGCAAATAGTGAAGGGCCTACAGCTAAAGCAGATAAACATAGCCCCCCAGTTGTATGTGTTACTTTATTCGTGTGATATCCGAGTGCTCGTGTTTTTCTGCGCTCGATAAGATGTTTGATATATCTTACGTTATGTAAACTCACATACAACACATTTGTCCCTGCTTTTGTATTATAATAAATTTTTTTATCCTTACTGCCACGCAGACGTAAGCAGTATCTAGTTTTCCATATTGATATTCTTTTTATTACAAAAATTAGTGCAAAGTTCGCAAACAACTTCGTTTTACTACCATATTTTATGCATTATGGTTTACATGATTTATCATAATTAGAAAATGTTGCATGAATAATGAGCATTTCATGTAGAGTATATTTTATTAATGCTGAATTATGTTGTTATCCATACTAAGCATGACAATTTCACGCATGAAAATAAATATTTTTATATTGATATTTATACATTTGTACAGAAATAAATTTAAAACAAGGCATATACAATATTTCAGAAATAAGTGGCTAAACCTTGGTATCATATTCTATTCTTTTTCGTAATTATCGGGTGATACCTATCCACATAAAATTTCGAGATAAACAAAGAACGTTATATCTCGAAAAGAAGGAATTTCCGAACTTATGTTTATATAATCTTTTTTTTTTTATGTTTAAGGAGAGTAGAATATGATACAAAATTTGACCATCTGTTTCTGAATTACTCTATGGCAGTGAGTGAAATTGCAAAATATTATTTTGTTCCCAATATATTGCTTATTTATTGTAACAATGATGCAATTCAAAATTGCCATTTTTTTAGTTGCTTACAAAAAAGAATAGAAACAAAGGAAAAAAAGAAATAACTTTTAAAAGAATATATTTTTAGGTACCATTACGTGGAATCTCGCATTTAACTAATAATCAAAAAAGTAATGGAAATGGCGGTCCTCTTATGGAGGAAGAATGGTTTCATGGGGTACTACCGAGAGAAGAAGTTGTAAGATTACTCGTCAATGAAGGGGACTTTTTAGTACGTGAAACAATGAGAAACGATGAGTGTCAAATAGTTTTATCTGTTTGTTGGGATGGGCACAAGCATTTTATCGTACAACTTACACAAGAAGTAAGAATAAATTCAATAGAGTATACTAATATACATAAATTTATATAATATTAAAATTAGAAAGTTCAATTCTCAAAATTATTATAATATTATTCGAAGGAACGGATTATATTAATGTACGTTATGGCAGGGACATTACAGATTCGAAGGACCGGCATTTCCATCCATTCAAGAATTAATCAGGCATCAATGGCTGTCTGGCTTGCCAGTGACCAGTCGATCTGGTGCTATTCTTAAGACTCCAATTTTACGTGAGCGATGGGAGCTTAATAACGATGATGTCATTCTTTTGGAGAAAATAGGTCGAGTGAGTAGGCTGATAATAGCTTTCCTGTATGTTTTATATGCCGCTATATATGTTGACGATGTGATCACAGGGAAATTTTGGAGACGTTTACAAAGCGCAACTGAAGACTTGTAAGACTGAGGTAGCTGTGAAGACATGCAAAGTAACGTTACCAGACGAGCAAAAACGTAAGTTTCTACAAGAAGGCAGAATATTGAAACAATATGATCACCCGAACATAGTTAAACTCATCGGTATCTGCGTTCAAAAGCAACCGATCATGATCGTGATGGAACTGGTGCCTGGTAAGCCATCAAATCTTATTACGTTGCATTATGCTAATACCATTAACATCTCTAGCTCTCATTCTATTGTATTAAAATACGAAATTGAAAATCTACCGATGTATACGCTACGATAGTCTACACGCTAATCACTAATTCTAGGTGGTTCGTTGCTCACGTATTTACGCAAGAATGCTAGTACAATAACACAACGGGAGCAACTGCGTATGTGTAAGGATGCTGCGGCTGGTATGAGTTACTTGGAATCTAAATATTGCATCCATAGAGATTTAGCCGCTCGCAACTGCCTTGTAGGTAAGGGTTTCTTTCAAATAACCTTCTTTTTCCTATACAAACTCGCATGGGCGAATCACAGGGTCTTGAATTTCAGATGCAATTCTGTGAGTATCCTCTGCAAGAAGAACAGAGGTCTCACTTCTTTCTCACGAAATGTTATATCGACTTTTCACCAACCTCGGTTAAGCTAACGGTTATATGATTACAATGTGAAGACTAAACATAATTTATTATAAGAAGTGTTCTTATAATCTGTATTTCTATTAATACTTTATATTAAAAATGGATAAAATGTTGATTTTTATATTTTTGGTGAATATTATAATTTTGAAAAAAGTGAAAGAAGACTTTGTATATTTAAACCGTACATTAATTTCATTCAAATATTCGATGGAATAGATTTCAAAATGAGATTTAGATTATGCAAATATAATTTTACAATATTGTTAAAACGAATTCAAGATGCATAATCCTGATCGGTATGTATATATACGAATTATATATCTGAATGCGATGAAATTGCTGTTTATGGTCTTCACATTGATAATCATGTAACTGTTGATTAGTTTAACCAAGATGAAAGAGACCCTAAAGCTAAATTTTAAAAAGGGAAAGAATGGAAAACACTAAATTTGAACTTGAACGAATTACGTAATAATAATGGAATAAAATATAATGTTGTATACTTTATTTCCTTAGGATATGAATGCATAGTCAAAATTTCTGACTTTGGAATGTCAAGAGAAGAAGAAGAATATATAGTTTCAGATGGTATGAAACAAATTCCCATTAAATGGACCGCACCAGAAGCTCTGAATTTCGGTAAGTCATAAGTTTATGTTTACATTATTTAATGTTAAACATTCTATTGTTACCATTGATACATTCGTGTCTCTCAGGTAAATATACATCGCTTTGTGATGTTTGGAGTTACGGGATTTTGATATGGGAAATATTCTCCAAAGGCGGTAATCCATACAGCGGCATGTCCAATTCACAGGCACGCGAGAAAATAGATGCAGGTAAGAAAATGAATAACAGAAATTGACGGAGTTAACTATGGCGAACATGAGTCAACATAATATTGTTATGATATTAAAATTAAGTGTTTATATATATATATATATATTATACAGCTATACTAAGTACACTGAAAAATTTTGAGGATTGATTCCTCACAGATTCAAAACGATAAACTTCATATATATTCAAAATGACTTAGTTTCAAAGATATAGGGTGGTAAAGTTCAATGAAAAATTTTGTTTTTTTTTTTCAAAAGTTTCGAAAATCACTCGAATTATTTTGATGAATTTTTGTATATGTTTAAAGTTTCATCAAAATAACTCGAATGGTTTTCGAAATGGTTTTCGAAAAAAAAAAAAAAATGAAATTTTTCAACTTTGTAACCTTGTATCTTTGAAACTAAATCATTTCAGACATATGATTATATGAAATTTCCGTCTTTTTATGTGAAAAATTACCTTTTGAAATCTTTTAGCATACTTAATATATAGCATGATGAAATGTTTCCGCTGATGCGTAATAGAAGAATGAATTTAGATCCAAATTTAATTGGTTGTTTCTAGTATGTTATCGCCATTATGCGCATCGTTTCACTTTATCTTATTGTATTACGCCATGATATATACTTTGTATATAGGGTATCTCACTCTAATTGATCATCTCAAATACTTATCTCTTGACAGTACATTTTAAGGAAAAATATTTTAATCAAAAGTTTTATGAATTAGGGGGACATAAAAAAGTATTGGTTTGACCTTGGTAGGCGCTGTTAAGATCAGGGCAAGGTCATTTTGAATTTTTAAAATAGAACTCTTCATTTTACGTATTAAGGCCATTGAAGGTCCTCTTATTTTCATTTTTACGTAAAAAAACTTTGATCTTGACAAATGTTACGAAGATCATGAAACTGAACAATATTCAAAGAGGTTCTAGCCGTCGGTCGGACACCTTAGATAATGCTAATGCTGACGGTGCTGTAACTTTCAAGTCTTATAACTCGAAAGCACTTAATGAAAAAGAATTTTATTATGTTTTGAAAAACTTCCGAGATAATTATGAGAATATGTAATGAAAAATGGAGAGTTCTATTTAAAAAATTCAAAGTGACGCTTGTCCTAATCTCGACCCAATGCCACTCAAAGTCATACCAATGGTACTTTCTTATTGAAAATTCTCCTTGAAAGTTCTCTTTAAAGTCATAAAACTTTTATATAAAAACATTTTTCCCTAAAATATATTGTTCAAGAGATATTTGAAATTTAAAATTTGCAAATAACCGTTTAAGTCTGATAATTATTTATTTTTCAAATTTGACAAATAATGATTACTAAAGTTATTTCTCAATAACGGTTATTCAGTAACAGATAACGAAATAACGTCTCTACTCATTACCAAGTTGACATCAATTTTTGTGCATAAAATTTAACACTTTATATTCATTTGTTTGCACAAATATTTTAAATAATGAAATATAAAAAATAGATTTCTTAAATGACTTAAAAATGAGAAATAATCCAAAAAATGAGATTAGAATATAGGATATTATAAAAAATAACCAATAACTGTTTAAATAACCGGTTATTTAAATAACCGGAAGTAATAATAACCGTTATAATCGTTATTAAAAAATAATCATTTAGCCCATCTCTAATTTGAAGTGATCAATTAAAATGAGATATATATTTGTTTTACATATATTAATGTATTCTGCCAATTTATGTACACATTGATTGCATCAGGGTATCGAATGCCAGCTCCAGATGGAACACCTGAAGAGATCTATCGATTAATGCTGCGATGCTGGGATTACGAACCAGAGAAACGGCCACATTTCGATCAAATATTTACCGTGGTCGAGACATTAACGCAAGCATATTTATAAGTATTATGTTAAGACTATTTTATGGCCAATAAATTGGTCATGAAAACCTAATAATAATATATAAAATTATATATACAGGATGCGTCACCAAAATTCGAACAAATCGAACAATTTCTTTAAACAAAATGTTTTTAATGAAAAATTAAATATTACAAAAAATCCTTGGCACTTGGAGGATCTCTATAGAGCACAATTATTCGATATATTCCTCATTAGTTTGAATGGCGGTTTCTATTCTCGACCTGAAGCGTTCGCATGCACGCTGTAATGTAGCGTTATCCATGCCGACGTATGCTGTTTCAATAGTGATCCTTAATGACGCCACATTGGGATGCCCAGACTTGTTTGTGATTCTTTTAACTACGCTCCATATGTAGTAGTCCAAAGGATTTAAATCTGGGGGGCCAGAACATATCGACGTTATCTGAAAGCCAATTTTGAATCAAATGACTCGTATGAGCCGATGCACCATCCCTCTGAAAAACATATGGCCTTCCGGACACCACAGTTTTCATCCACGGCTTCACTATATCCATCAGAACGCACAACGATTACCCTGGGTCATCCAAAATCAGCGCTTGAGCCCTTTCAACTGCACGGGTCCTCGCAGTGCGTTCTTTCGAGTGACTCTTTCTCGCTGGCATACTAGAACCTTCTTAGACTGTTCTAAAGTATATTTTGCCACAACGTCATAAACGGTTGATCTCTAAACGAATATCGAAAGAATTATTTCCGTTGAGCGCCCAGTGCGAAGACCTTTGATGATCGCAGCTCTTCGATTATACTCCGCACTTGGTTTCAACATAACGAATTTGCCATTTTGAGAATATGACTGTTTACTAGAAGGCTTTCTCGGACGCCAACAATCTCTGGCGGAGGCACAATATAGCGGAAAATTTTAATTTAAAGATCCGATTTTTTAATTTTTGGTTATAACTTGTGATTAGATTTAGCCTAATATTTTATCCAATAGGCTTCATCTATGATGGTGTCATGAAGAATGAATTTATTGAACATCACGTTAAATTTAAACAAATTAACAAGATAATGAAAAATTGGATTATTAAATTTAATATATTAATATATTAATATAATTTAATATATTAATATATTAGATTTTGGAAGAGAAACGTTTACCTACAAATTAATTGCTGACAGCACCATTTGCCCACATCATATTTGCCTATAGTTTACCTACGTGCATTGTTGCGCATAAATATAAAATTAATAGCGTTTTCTTTTGGCTGCACTATCGTCCACTAGTGCAACACTCAGACAGTGTAGTGTGTTTCCTTGGCTGGTGATAGGCGAACTCATTCAGTGTAACGTGTTTCTGTGGCTATAGTGTAGTGCAAATTTTATGTACGAAGTGGGGTTTTGTTACACGATCTCAAAGAGACCGGTGTAGAGCCAGTGTGACATTAAAAATTTGAAAATGAAAGTCAACCAGCAGCAGAATTAAACATGATAGCATGAAGTAGTGAAGTGGTGTATGTACACTTGTATAACACTGATGCAGCACTTATAGGCAACTGGTATAGTGCGAGGTTACACTCAGTGTATCCCAAGAGAAAACGCTATTAGTAAATAAATGATTCTATACAAAATACTTCTTCTATAGTGCAACATTCCAACGCGGGACAGGGCCTACTTCTCATGAGGTTTTCGCAACAAAGGATTTTTCCGGAATTAGATTATAGCCTAATGTTCAACTCTCAGCCTGGGTGATATCCATTGATATATGGGACTACAGTTTTAATGTCGGATCCGCGCTGATGATCAAAGATCTTTTAATCATCAGATGATATCATTTTCGGCTCCTTAAATGAGAAAAACTGTATAATTGAACGCAGGTGAGATTGAACTCATTAAAACCCATATCTACAGATCGTGCGTCAATCGCAAAAAAATAATATCATGCATCGTGTATCAAAAGTAAAGTCATAACATATTGCTGCAGGTAAACATTCATTCATATTCTTTTTTTTAAACATAATGCACTTTAATATTCGCCTCTCTTACCCACCATATTAATAGCTTTTAATTGAGAAATAACACTGAGAAATTAGATATTAAAGTACATTGTAATAAAAACAATATGAATAAATGTTTATTACTGGCAGCAACGTACATTAGGGCTTTGCTTGTGATATATGATATGTCCTACCTTGCGTAGGGATCTGTCTAATCATTTTGATATTTATTACTTTTAATGTATTGTAGACTCATCTATTTAGTAAGGCAAAGATTTAATACATTGCATGTAGTCACAGTATTTTTATCGAGTTCGCAATGAAGCCCGTATTTCAAAATCATCTTTAACTTTATATGTGCGCAAAAGTGCTTGTAGATAATCTACCTGTAAGGTAATAATCTATTATGTATGCAATGCAATTTGTACGCAATAGTGTGGTATGCGAAAACGTGCCCCTTTTCTTTTAATTTTATATTTGTGTGCAATAGTATATGTAGGCAATTGAGCTGTAGGCAATAATTTTTGTGCGCAAACGAACTTTAGGCAAACGGTGCTGTAGGCAATAATTTTTGTGCGCAAACGAACTTTAGGCAAACGGTGCTGTAGGCAATCAATTTATAACCTTCTCAATTCTGATTAAATGAAGTGAATCTTAACACTTTCGATAATTTTATCTTTTTTTTTTAACTAGAAGCAGAATACAATAAACTTTAATCTAACTGATTGCCGCAGAGTTCTGTTAAATATTAAAATAAGAAAAAATATATAAAATTTGTTTTAAAATATCGTTTAAAACTATAAGTGTTTGAAATTGGAGGAATCTACTTGTTACCAATCTAAACAGAGAAAATGTCAAATTTTGAATACGAGAAATGTTAAAGTTAAAAGATTTTTGAATTTATTATATACATATATATTTTTAATGAAAATTTTTAATCAAACATTTAAAATGAAAATAAAATTAATTAAATATTTTTACTTTAAAAAATTGTACACTTTTACATTAGAATATATTATAATATTTATTTCAAATATTAAAAGAAATGACAAATAAAACAAGTCACGCGATTGTGTTAAAATGCAGAAATAAATTTAGTAGATAGGAGATTTAGTCATATACGTATAATACTTTATTATTTCGACTGATTTTTCGAGTCATTTTCAAATAATAACAAAATTTTAAAAATGTGCCCTCGATTATCGAAAAAATAGATATTGAGGAGAAGAATATTTATTTCTTATGCAATATTTCCCAAAGCAATTGTTTTTTTGTTTGATTTTCAAATTAAAATTAACTTCAACTGTTTAAAATTCATTTTGATTAATTTAAAGTTAGAATACAAAAAGATATATCAGTGGCAACCAACTATAATTTCTAAAAGGACAGTACTACATTAGTGATTATGAATGTGTTAATTAATGATAAGTTATAGATAATTTAGTTATTAAAAACAAATTTTAAGACATTTTTTTTTAACAAATAAGATGGAATGATAAAAAACAAGAAAACAGTAAATGATTTACCAGAACATGGTATAAGCAGAAAATGACAAAAAAAGGAAAACAATTTTTTGAATTATTTTGTCATGCTTTTCCTTGATATGCTGTATTTATATATATAATACATATGTGTATATCAGTATAAAACATATATACGTCATCGTGAAACCATGTCAATGTGAATGCCATTGCTTATATTTTTTATTAGTAATGTTTAATTATAAGAGGGATCCAATAGCGCGCATTGCTAATTAATCAATTTAAAATAAAATATTCTCATTGGTAAAACAGTAAAAAATTACTAGACAGCCGATGTGAATGAATATGTGCTAACGAGTCCCTCTCTTTAACTGTTATGTTTTATAAATTATTATAATATATTATATATATTTCTCCGTCCATAATTCAATTTATGATTAATAATATTATTATAATAATATTGTTAGCTCTCTCTCTTTCTTACATGCGCGTACACGCACATACACACAGGGTGAGTCACTTAAAGCTGCTGCATTTTCCATAACAATAGCCTTTAAATATACCGTAAGAATTAAGGATCATTTCTACAGGCCGAAATCTATAACAATGATCAATCACAGTCGATTATCTTCCTTAATTGATTGTAATTGATAAATTCTTACAGATTGCGACATAAGTTAACGGATTAAGGGGCTCGTACACTTTCCATAACAATAATCATAAGACATACTTTCTAAATTTCTTGGAGTGTGTGAAATCTCACTTCAAAAGAGTTAAAATACTACTACATTGCAAAAGAGTGATTTTGCACTCTTGAATAAGAGCGGTAGATTTTCATTCTTTTTTTTTTAGAGTGAGATTTTATACCTTTGGAGTGAGATTTCTTTTGTTTGGAATGAATGTCACTCCAAAAAAGAAAAATAAAGTGAAAGTATGTGAAATAAAATATGATACTAAAAAATTGTTTAGTATCAAGGAAGGGGGAGGGATCATCATGCGACTTCAAACATTTCTTTTCATCCTCAAAAATTAGGTGTTACTCGAGTAATCGGTCTTAAGTGACTTACCTTTTGTGTGTGCGTGTGTATAGATAACTTGAATACGTTTGTATTCACACATAATTATGACATAGCATGGACTTTATTTATTCAATTCTATCATCTGTTGTCTATGTTTTCTTTCATATTTTGTAGTATTTCTCGAATGTATATATATTGACTATACGTATTAAATTGTATAGGCGCGTATTCAAACGTATCTTATATTTATGTATTTATTAAATTTGTCATTTTCCATTAAAATTGAAAGTACAGTGGAAATATACTTATTTTCAATATGAAAAATTTCCAGCATATTTAAGATTCTATAGAGTGTGTTTCAAACTCGATGCACCTGTTAATGGCAGATTCCTAAAATTATTTTAAGACGAAAATTCTAATATCAAAATGTTTAGGTTTTATCCTCTCCCCCGGTTATGACATCCCCGCCTTTACCTCTTTCCCGTTCTTCTTCTAACGCAGAATCCATTTCATCATATAGGTAGTATAAAAGTCTTTAGAAAGTATTTAAGCAATATAGCTATATATCTTGTATATCCATTTAATAAATATTTGCATGGAATCTCGTTAAATAAAAACACGTGAAATGTCACGAAAAAACTAATACCGCTGATTTTAAGTCTTTAAAGGATATTTTAGTTTTTAGGAGAGAAAAGGTATAATTAAGAATCTTATAGTATAATATTTTAATTATAAGAGCGTTTCTTATTTCTCTAATGTAAAAGAAAGGAGCAAGGAAAGGGAGAGAGAAACAAAATCTTATATTTATAAATTATTGTGTAATATATAATCATGATGAAAATGATATGTAAATGCATGTATCCATTTGTAGTTTATGTGTATAAAATTTTAAAAGTTAATTACGCGCTCAAAGTAATGATCCAAGATTCTTGTAATTTAGATGTTCTGTTTCTTACAATGTTTTTGTTCAAACGACATCAATGTATAACATTGCACGCAATTATAAGAGGTCTTTATATGTATAGATTACATAAGATTCCGTTGAGTTCACTTTAATGTGTTATAACATAATGTAATCTTCATATAGACACAATTTATTACTTGTTATCTTTTACGTGCAATTATGTGAAAGACATTTATGTTGTTTCTATATGTATATAAAATACTCAGTGGTATTGTTGTGTAATACATAAATAAAGACAAATTAAAACAATAATAAGAAAAAAAAACCGGACAAAAAGGAATAGGTACTAAAAATCATGTGCTGATATTAAGATAAAAAAGAAATCTTATAATATTATAAAATTTATTACAAACGAATGTTACCGAATGTAACTATATGTTCTTTAACATGACAAAATCGAACGTTTCTATTAATCTTTTAATCTTTCTCAACGATGAAAATTAAAATACTCGCAATACATACTTCAAAATTAACATTGCATTATTTTCTCTGAAGTGGATAATGTTTTCTCTTATATTAAGAAAAAAATATCTCATATCAAATTGAAAGACTGGATTGACTTAAAGTGCCTGCGGAATCAGCAACAGATGTGTAAACCGCTAATCCTCATATTATAATTGATGGAAAGTTAACAATTAAAAACAAAAAATTAATAGTGTCCCATTAATTAAAAACCAAACACTGTATAATATAATTCTGATCATACAGTTAAACAATAATAAATTATGAATTAACGGTTTAAACATCTGTTATGGTTGCTGTAGGCAGTTAATACTTTGAGTCCATTCAGCCTTTTAATTGGTATAGGATATTTTTTCTCTTTAAGAGAAGACATTATCCACTTCGGAGATAATGAGAGAGCCTCAAAGGGAGAGAGTGGCAAATTGCATCACATGTCCTCGTCCAATCAGGACGAGAGTCACCAATTTTCTCCAATCTCTTCCATGCCTATGGAGCTTTGATGCCCATGTCTAATCAGAGGAGACGAGTCACGTGATATAGTTTGCCACTCTCTTCCTTTGAGACTCTCTAATAATAATGAATAATGCATCTTAACTTAATTTTGAAATACATTTTTATGAGCATTTTAATTTTCGTCGCAAAAGAGGATTAGAAGACTAATCGAAATGTATGATCTTGTCATAATGATACGTTTTGTAATAAATTTTATAATTTAATTTTTCTTTTTTAACTCTTCCCGAACAAGGTAGAAAATCAACATATGGATCATATGTGAAATATCTCATACCCCATGCTATATCATAAATATCTCATACCCATGCTTCATCATAAATATATTATAATTTAGAATAATATCTATATAGAAGTCTATGGTCACACCTGGTTCGCAGAGAATTAAATATCAGCGCATGATCTTCAGCGTCTATTCCCTCTTGTCCGGATATTTTCTTAATGTTTTTAATCAAAGAAAATCTTATTATATTTTGTTTAAATTTTTTTAAATAAAGATTTTGTGTGCGTGCGTGCGTGTAATTAGGCCTGTTCTTTTTAGCTGAACTTCTTATACGGTTTATTTTTTTTTCTTTTTTTTTCCAATGTGGAGAGAAAAGGAGGATGAACCGTGCAAGAATTTTAGCTAAAAGAACAGACACGCACGCACGTAATGAGGTTCCGCTCGATCAGTCAAGTTTCATGCAGTTTACTATATTGGGAACAGTTCATGGCATGATCATGGCACACAAAAAACTTAAGGCAACAAGATATAAGTAGTAAAGAAATCAACATATTGGATTGGCTGTTTATGTTATGGCCTTACTGTGATTGGTCAATTCCAGATAAGTTTATTGCTTACGTTTTACTGCTTAAACTTTTTGTGTGCCAAAGCCCTTACTATACCATAATTTGAGCTGTAAACTATGTTTGGTATCCTCCTAATTATAAAATTAATCAATTATAGCTACTTTTCTGAAGAATGGAATGATTGACTTGTCAGTTTCATAACTACAGATCAGGGTTGAGTAAATTACTTTTTTTAAAACTAAATTAAATTAAAGTTACAGCCTTGAAAATTTAACTTAATTAAAACAAGTTAATCCATAATGAAATTAATTGAATTAAAGTTAAATTAATAAAAAAAGTAATTTAAAAGTTTAAAGTTAAATTTGGTCTGAACGAACAATAAAAAAAAAAGAAAAAGTTTAACTACACTATTTTACATAATTTTTGATATTTTTTCTTCACATTTCCTTTCACATTAAAGAATCAGTGGTTATTTTTGTTCACAAGTAACAATTATACAATATAGAAGAGATAAAATTACTAAATTATACGGGTTTCAGACCACCCTTACGACTCTTTTATCTTCGCAAGATAAGGTGCAATCGTAAAAATATTCCGACAAGAGATGTAGAGTTTAAAAAGATCTATTTACTGATCTTATCAGTTTGACCTTAGGTCGCCAAGATCAGGTCAAAGTCACGTCGTTTTTTTTTTAATGGAACACTCAACTTTTTATTCCAGTATCTAATAATCGATTGTCGAGAACTTTTCAAAATATTAAATAAAGTAATTTTTCATTGAGTACTTTTTGAGTTATAATGCTCGAAAATTACAGTACTGTCGACATTAGCATTACGCAAGGTGTGCGACCGATGGCTAAGACCTTTTAACATTTGTCAAGAGTAAGACTATTTTCATACTTCTTATTTTCATATCTAAATGAATCTAAAATTTTCATATAAAAATGAATTTTTAGCAAAAATGAAAATAAGATGAATAATTTTCATGTCTTGATCTTGAAATGTTATCCAGGATATCCTGAACAACATTCAAGAAGTTTTAATCGTGTTTTGGAAAGTTCTCGATATCGCCTATTAGATTTTGGAATAAAAAATATGATGTTCTGTTTAAAATAATCAACATTACCTTATTATTTTTTAGATGATATGATTTGGTAACTTTAAATGCTTATATACAATTAAAAACCTATTATAGTCTTGACATTTTAGTATTACAATTTTCGTCTTAAAATAATCTCAAGAATCTCCCCTTAGTGTTGTTCCAATCTTTTTGGGACTGTATATCTATACATATACTATCAGTAAAAAGTTTTGGATCACCTGTATAAAACGTAATGGTCCTTCTCTTAATTTAAATAATAGCAATTTGGATTGATTGGAATAGTCTTGCTAATGTAAATTGATGACTTTTTTTAGAACTGATTTGAGTTCTTAGAGCCAACCTAATTATCAAAATCTATGCATGAAATTATATTAAAGATTTCACTGAGAAAAATGCCTGATGAAAATGGTGATTATATCAATCAAAATTTTAGTTATCACAACTAAACTCTAGTAGATTTAATCAGAAAACTCTGATTTGTACATTTTCAATAAGAATTATATCAGGCATATAGGCTATCATCTCATTACGCAAACTCATTTTTATTGAATAAATAGAGAAACTCGCGTTACATCCAAACTTTTGACTGGTACTGTATATACACACGCATACGCATACACACGCGCGCGTGCGCGCGCGCGTATTTTTTTATAAAAACGCAACAGACATTTTCACTTTATCTTTACACTTTCCACAGACAAAACTTTCGCATAATGACTTAAACTATTCCTTATATTATATTAACTCGTAGAATTTAGAAAACTCACCACTCAGAAAAGCCTCCAAATTATAAGTATAATTTTATGAGTTCATCACTAACAGCTGATGGTGTTAGAATTCCCAAGTCCGTGAACAACAAACTGATGTAGTGAGGTGGAGTATAATCTACCAAGGGGTGCTCCTTTTTCAAATTCTTACTTAAAAGTACACTATATGTATACTACAACAAGCAATAACGCATTTTATGGATTATTACATACAGAAAAGATTCTTTTACATTGTTCCTATACAAAAGTTATAACTGGTTTGAAATGTATACAAATATAATTTACCTTAAATTCATTAGGTAAATCTACTTGATTTAAAGGATAGATTCTCGAAAATTTGAAGCTTTCTGTCAGTACATAAAATGGTTTTTTCACCTCTTTTGCACACATAGCCATTGTATATGTACCTATCTATAAAAGAGAATTGGAAAAAATACATATATATTAGGTGTTGGAATTAATTCGTAGCGTTTTACAAGTGATGGGAAGTACTTTCATTAATGTATTTTTTAATGCTCATGTGAAATAAATAACATTCTTTCATTAAAAAACGCTACGAATTAATTCCAACACCTAATAAATTACAAGAGAATTATATATTTCCGTTGAATGATCATATACCTTATTAATCACACCACCACTTTCTGCAACACCTTCTGCTCCAACCATTACCATATCTATGTGTTCCATCACATATCCTACTGCAGAGTCTAGTATCACTGTACACGATATTCCCAACTTTGTTAAGCTCTGGCACATCTCTTCTCTGTTTGAAGGAAAAAAGTTAAAAAAAGAAAAAGATAAGAACACAAAAGTTGATAATCACAAAAAAGATATGTATTTTATCATTGAAAAACTTCACACATACCCATTATTGTCAGGTGATGTTGATGTGACATATACTTCAAATATTTTATTATTTGCAGCAGCTTCCTTCATTGCTTGCAGCACTACTCTTGATTTTGAATGCGTAAGTATAGTCTAATAAAATGATAAAAGTCAGAAAATAATGGAAATATCGCAAATAATTTAAGTCTGTTCTTACCGAGCCATCAGTAATAAAGTGTGCTGCAACCTTGGCTACTTTTCCTCGAGCTGCAACTAATTTCTCATAGAATACTTTTCCTCTTTCCAACATGATCCCTTTGCATTCTGCGATTGACTAATAAAAAAAATAAGCATCAACAAATTACATTATTTATAGATTAAATTTCAAGAAATTTATTCTCAGAGTATAAAACAAAATCTAAACGATAAGTGTTCTTACAGATGTATCCAATGTCGCTAATGTGATGAAACGGAGAAACAATTCACTTCCTGAAGCAATTGCGGTGACCGGAGTTTCTGTGGAGCGCATAGCGTCAATTGCATGCTGTAAGCAAATTCGAAGCTCCTGAACTGTCTCTGCTACAAAACCGAGAAGAGTATATGAAAAATAATACTTTGTGTACGCATTTTTTGGACATTACAATAAAATATTAAAAATATAATGCATGCACACACAAAATGTTATATTTTTTAAATATTTTATTGTAATGTCCAAGAAATTCACTCAATACAAATGTATACAATAAGGATCAATATGTATTTATTAGGTGTTGGAATTAATTCGTAGCGTTTTTTAATGAAAGAATGTTATTTATTTTACATGAGCATTAAAAAATACATTAATGAAAGTACTTCCCATCACTTGTAAAACGCTACGAATTAATTCCAACACCTAATATATTAATGTATTTATATTAAATATTCTTAAAATACACATGTATATATTTTATATCAAGATATATAAGTATATTTCTAATAATACTTACATTTAGAATGTTTTAATACTTTTAATAAGGTGCGAATGGCAGCCATGCCAGCAGAAACATCTTTCTCATTTTTTATAATGCTGTTGAAGTATTGACATATTTCTGTAAAAGTTTATCAAATGGTTATTTTTAGATTCTCATTTGATAAGACTCCTACTTAAAAATATTTCCCATTATAATCTGGTGAAAATATTTTGGTAATTTATTTTAATAATTACTTACCTTACTTTCAATACTAAAATTAAGTTTATTCGATATATTCTTACACAAAATAAACAAGAAAATTTAATGGAAAAAGTATCTATAATGTTAAACATGAAATGATCATTGTATTACAATGGCTGTGGTCAAAATCTCACTACAAATGCTTTGAAGCATTTGATGGATCAATTAGAAGAAAGAATTTTACAAACTGACCAGTTAAAAAAAACACTTCAAAGCGTTTGCAGCATTGCGTTGATTGTACACAATGTCTCTTGTTGGAAAGTTCCCCTTGTCAACAAGTACATATTTCATTTTGTACATTTTTTTCTATCAATGTACATGTTCACATCGCAATATTAATATGCTAAGTAGATATTTTTACCTGAAAGATTGACAAATCGCATCAGATTCAACGATTAATATTTTACTTTCTGATAAAGTGATACTTTATACAGCCAGATTCTTTTGCTTCGTGTAAAAACGTGAACGAGCATAATTTTATTAAATTAGATGACTTAGATAATTTGAATAATTATCAAATTCATCAGTCCTTTAAAATACAATAACATTTTTCACCAGATGTAAGGAAATAAAAGTACAACGCTGATTTCATGTACCTTCTTTATCCATTATGACCTATTATTTTGATTGTAAATGATCGTGATGATTGATGACAATAAATTAACGAAACAGAAGCAAATTTACTTTATATTCAGCATTAATATATAAGATATTGCATAAAATATTATGTGTTGTCAGCATCAAAATTTGAAACACCCATCTAAAACCTGATTGCGCCACCGATCCAAGGTTATGTTCAGATCATGGTGGAAGGATTATGGCTCTGGCACACCAGAGCGATATTCGTCACGTGTGACATGCGATATCCAATGAGTGTACAGCTTTACCGATATTTTCATTTTAAAGATATACTTTCAAAGGTAATATTTCCCTAGTTTTACGTATGCGATACTATTCAAGAATAGAGCCCGTGGTCCTTGTTAACGAGGTAAACTTGGCCAGAAACCAAAAGGATTACATGAGCCTAGTTTCCACAGGTTAAACCGGTTCAGGGCATCAATCATAAAACTTTTTTCCCAGGATGAAAAGTGAAAAGTGAAAAATTTCTCCATTAAGTTCAATGGTTAAAATTTTCACTTTTCACTTTCCATCCTAGGGATAAAGTTTCATGATTGATACCCAGAATGTAAGAACCAACCAACTACAGCATTCCCCTGTCGTTCAACTGTAACAGAAGCACATTGGAGGATGTTGGACCATGTAACATAACAAACCTAAAGTTCCATCATGCTCTTATCATATCTCCTATTCATTTCAATGACACGCTAAACATGGCAGCTTCCAGCTGAATCCGTTCCACTTTCTCTTGATTCTCTTTGAATGGATGAACATTCTTTCTCTATTTATTAATGCCTGATTGGTTGTTGTTGATCCAGCAGAACTGTATGCTGTGTCAAAGTGTACCCCTAATGAGAATATGACATAAAATAGTTAAATGTCAATAAAAGTAAATAAAATGGTGAATTATTGTATCTTATGCAAGGTATGCGCTACCACAATCTCTACATCTAGTTTTCACAGGTAAGTATATTTCATATATAATATTTACACTATCGTTATATGAAAGAAGTTAATCATCATAATAATCATATGTAATTCGTCATAATATGTGTTATTGTTACGTTATAAGGCAGTTATATTTATATTATAGTATTTGTTGAGTACTCATATATATTCACATAAAATAGTTTAATATTTATAAACTATATGCTGTTTCCTTTTCTTCATAATATGATTGGCAAATTCAGCGAGTTACAAATAAAGAGTATGTAAAGTAAAAGAAAGAGGAAGGAAGAGAGGAAGGGAGAAGGAGAGACAATTAATGAGACAATGTTATAATAATTAATATTGTAAGTTACAGGTTCCCGAAAAATAAGGATCGAAGAAGCAAATGGTTGCGAGCAATCAATATGAATGAAGTTCCACAATGTGCTCGACTGTGCTCTAACCACTTTAAATCATCAGACTATCAAGAAACAATATATGGACTAAAAGCGAGTCTTAAAAAAACTGCTATTCCTAAGATTATTTCTCAAGAAATCAATTCTGATGCCAACAATAATACAGCAGCATTTAGTGAAAAAGAATTTCATACTGAAATACAACAGGTAGTTGGAGAATGACTACATAATAGTAATCAAATAATTTTCAGTATAAAAATATAACTGTGATAAGAAACATATTTTCAGAATATATGTAAAGAACAATCCGAAATTAAAATAGAAGAATGCAGTATGGAATTTAATAATGCTGCAAAATATAATCCTAACTCATTGAAAAGGTGTGATATTTTTGGCTAGTATATTATTATCTTTATATATTATTATCTTTATACTTATATTAATGTATTCTTTTTCCAGAAAATTAATGGAGAATGAAGAAATAGACTTTCCTTTGAAACATATTAGACATATGAAAGATATTAATGTATACGAAGTATCTAAAAATCAGGACGAAGCAAAAATGGTATTAGAAATTGCCCTGGAAACAATTGCAGAACAGGCAAAGAAAATACAACGTTTGCAAATTCAAAGATGTAAACTAAAAAACCGAGTGCAGAGTTTGACTGAATTAAATAAACATTTACATGATAATAATTTCTAAGAAAGTTTTAGAAGATATGAACGATGTTTCTTGAAATATATATATGTTGTGATTATCATACAGGATGCATCACTATACAAGTCATCATTTAATGATAATATATTCAGTAAACCAAAATTGCTAGCAAATTATCATCAAGTTAGCATCAAACGCTGTCAAAAATTGATGTCAGATCCGGTGCATTTTATGTTAACAATAAACTGTTTTGCTTCTAAATAAAACTTGTGATAAAACTAGATTACAAATTAGCAGTAAAAACTGAACAAGTTTGGCATAGCATTATTTACAACAAAACTTGCTAGGTTTTTGCTGCCAATTTACTATCAAGTCATATATATTTATAAATATTAGGTGTTGGAATTAATTCGTAGCGTTTTTAATGAAAGAATGTTATTTATTTCACATGAGCATTAAAAAATACATTAATGAAAGTACTTCCCATCACTTGTAAAACGCTACGAATTAATTCCAACACCTAATACGTTTATTTGTATTTTATTACCAATTTGCTGTCAAATTATGTCAGCAGATTTTGTTACATATCTGCTAGCAAATTTTTGATGTCTGATGAATCAAATTCTATATTAAATTAATTCTTTTTTTGTTTATATATGCTTATTGGATTGTGTTCAGAAATTTATTCGAGTGCACCCATGTATTATTTATCCTCGTTTAATATCTGAACAACAAGGAAAATGATATATAGATGCACTCGAGTGAAGACAACATATATGTAACATATATGTAGAGTGGACCATACTCGTCGTTTATACTTAATTAGTCATGCTGTTTGTATAGTGTAATGCGTAGTCTACAATGGCAGTATCAGTAAAGGATGAAGCTGTAATAGAGAAATTGAATCACAGTCGATTATTCTTTTTATATTTAACTGTGATAGGTCAATTTGTTACTTCTACAGTCTCATCCATTATTGTTACTACTATTGGCTGCGTTCGAATGCGAGGATAATAAGTGATTATAATTCGTTCATTCTTTATGGTTTAAGGCTTAAAAATCTATTGCAGATCCGGAATTAGTCCGGAGTAGTTAGTTACTGTTATTTTCATTTCCGTTAAATTACGTAACCTAAAGTAATATCCTAATTAATTCATTGGCTTAAGTTTACATTACTGTTACAGAATTTTGTGAGCGGCTTAATGCGTGGTCTATAATGGCTACGTTCAGTAGAGAAAGCAGCTTTGCAATTGTTGTAAAATTCTTGAATATATTTGCAGCATCGCGTTGATCGTATCCTAAATCATTGCGTTCACGATACTCAAAATAGGGATATAATAGCATTGATGATTGGTTCCGCCATTTTATTTCAAGCCAATGAAAATTTTTACAAGATTGACGTGACTCTCTTATAGGGACTCTAAATTACATGCGTCCGTTTTTTTGTTTTAACAAATTTTTCAAGCGTGTTAATTGGCTGCAAGACAGGGAGAATCTCGGACCTCTTGTTTTATAGCCAATCGACAGGCTTAAAAAATTTGTTTTACGACAAAAAATAGATGCATGTAATATTGGCCTTAAACCGTAGTTTATTGGCTGCCACACATTCTAGACGCGGAAACACTTTCGCGGCAAAATGCGCGGCAACCAATGAACGTGCGAGGAGCTGTAAGCTTATTGGTTACCGAGTCGCGCGGTAAAACGTTTCGTGTACAGAAACCATATTACTAGTCCGAAAGATGGCGCGATATGTATTGCACATGCATTTCGCGCGAATGTAGCTCATGCTTCCATCATGCATCAAGCTTTCGTGATTCACGGATTCTGTAAGTACGAGCAAGTGCGAGGGTGGTTGTGCGGTGCACGTAGCACGGCCTGGCACGTAATTCCGTGGATTTCTGAACTGTTATTATGTCCTCAGGTACGTTTTTGATCATCATGACGATGAATATCGATAGACAATTAGTTTCTTTACCGCTAAAATGATCTTGGAATATCGTCCGCGTCTTTATCACGCACCACACGTTTACACCTAACCAAACTTCGCGCGACGTGGTCACCATGCTTTCGATATTGCACGAGCTGCTAGGCGCATTTCGACACGGAGTGCGACAATATGATATATTCTTCTAATAATATGCTCGCGTATGTTTTGCAGGCAAAAAGAACAAGAAGAAGAAGGGAGTAACAGTAGATTTGTGGTCATTCCTTGCCGATGGAAATGGGCCGACTCCTAATATACCGCTGAAATCGTCTAATTGGGCTGATGATGTGGAGGACGATCATGGTAAGTCGTTGGAATTGCTTTTGTCCCAGTTCAAAATTGATAAACAATTGTTAGTTTTATGAAAAAAAATATTAAATTCTTGTTCTAATTATTAAATGTATCTATGTTTATACATCAGAATATATGTGAATATGTTATTTTTGTATATACTCTGAATATATAAATTATTTTATTACATTAATGTAAGAGGAATGGAACATAGTAATGCTGTAATTTCCTGTCACAAAACATTTATTTTAATATATGTGATGTAAAACTTATATCTTTAATTTTTTATGATAGATTTTTCATATCGATTATTTTACAGAAGGATTTTCATCAAGGAGTAACAAAGATCCGGTTATATTGCCGACTGCTCCAAGAGCTGCACGAGGACCAGGGATCGATGAAGAGAATATTCCTACAAATCCTCCTTATGTAGCCTACATAAGCAATCTGCCATATGATGTAGATGAAACTGATTTGGCAGATTTTTTTGCAGATATGAAGGTTCGTTATTTTTACAAGTACTTTTTATTATCTATATTTAGTACATCTTTAATCATACATATAAAATTTCAAAGAACTTAAGATATATTACAACAATGTTATAATCTTAATTTTATTGTGTTTACTTTTATTTACACATACACACACGCACACACATGTACACACGCACGCGTACACACACACACACACACACACACACACACACACACACACACACAAAAGTATATACATAGGCTGCATTCAGATGCATCATTTGAATACTTTGTGTATCATTTTATCATTCTACACACACACACACACACACACACGCGCGCGCGCGCGGGGAGAGAGAGAGAGAGAGAGAGAGAGTGTCCAGTAACAACATTTAAGGATAGATTTCTGAGATCATTTTGAAACAAAAATCCTAATGTCAAAATGTTGAGGCTGTAATAGTTTTTGAATTATAAGCATTCAAAATCAGCAAATCGTATCTCCTAAAGTTCGCATGTTCAGATATGATATGTAAATGCTAATGCAAAATGCTAATCATACTTAACCCTTATTAAGGATCACTGGTTGATTTTTCGGCATTTTATTTTAAAAATTTATTATTTACATTATAATTTATTACATTATTATTTACATTATAAATTTATT